CTGCCATACCCAGAGGCAGCCAAAGCCTGATGCAACTGTCTGTATAAGAAAGACCTTTCTTGTCCCCATACCTCTCCTTCCTGCCTAAGGATAGGTACATATATCAATGGAAAGGAATTTACAGTACAGAAATAAACTCTTACATTTATGGTTAATTGACTTTTGACAAGGGAGCTAAGACATGTAACAGAGAAAGAAATTATTTTCAACAAATGGGGCTGGGACAACTGAATTCGAAATGCAAAAAGAATGAGGTTGGATTCCCTACCTCACACCATATCCAAAAATAAAAATGGATCATAGACACAAATGTGAAAGCAAAAATTATTAAAATTTTAGAAAAAGACAAGAATAAATCTTCATGACAATGTAATAGACATGTCTTAGAAATGGCACCGAAAGCACAATCAACAAAAGTAAAAATAAATTGCACTTCACCAGAGAGTCCAATTCACCATTTTGTGTGATGAATGTTAAGTTCATTCATCATTTTTTTTCTTCAAATGGTACCATCTAGAAAGTGAAAAGACAACTCACAGAATAGGAGTAAATATTTCCTAATCATTTATCTGAGAAGACACTTGTACACAGAATATATAGAGAACTTAAAACTCAACAATAAAAAGACAAATAATCCAATTTTAAAATTGAAAGAATCTAAATAGACATTTCCCCAAAGAAAATATACAAATGGCCAATAAGCACATGAAAAGATGCTCAGCATCAGTTATCATTAGGGAGATACAAATCAAAACCACAATGGGGTGCCACTTCACACTTCTAGACTGGCTAAATTAGAATGACAGATAACACTGTTGGCAAGGATGCAGATAAATTGGAACTCTTACACATTTGTAGTGGAAATACAAAAGTGCTGCCTTTTAGAAATCATTTTGACAACTCCTCAAAAATAGAGTTACCATGTAATTCAGACGTTTAACACTATTAATTAATTAATTACAAATTAAACTCTTCTTGATTACCAATATGTCTCCATCCATCTGGCTAAACTCTAAAAATAACATACCAAGTACACTTAATAATAAAAAATAAAGGGACAAAAATAGAATCAGGGAGGGGAACACAAGGGATTTCAAAAGTAACAATAATGTTCTCTTTTTTAAATGTGTATCCTTGGGGGCGCCTGGGTGGCTTAGTCGGTTAAGCGTCCAACTTTTGCTTAGGTCATGATCTCGCGGTTCGTGGGTTCGAGCCCCGTGTCGGGCTCTGTGCTGACTGCCAGCTCAGAGCCTGGAGCCTGTTTCAGTCTGTGACTCCCTCTCTCTCTGACCTTCCCCTGCTCACGCTGTCTCTCTCTCTCTCTCTCTCCTAGAAATAAATAAAACATTTAAAAATAATAAATGTGTATCCTTGTACTGTTATTCTTTAAACTGTACATAAACTATACTATAAATAGTATATATATATTTATATATACTTAATATATTTAACATTCCTTAAACTGTACATAAACCATACTATAAATATTAAATATTTATGGATTAAATATTCAATAAAGAATGCCATACTGAGTATTGGCAAGAATATGGAGCAACTGTTACTTTCATACATTGCTTATGGGCAAAAGTTGGTACAACCACTTTGCAATACTCTTTGGTATATACTAATACCAAATATATGTAAAGCTTATAACCTAGCAATTCCACTTTCTGGTATGTATATATGCTGGGAGCCACACCGGCCTCTCTGGATGACAGTCACAGTGAGGAGATGGTAGAGTTTGCACAGCTCCTGCCATGAGAAATGAAAAAATGGTATCTCCTTCTGCTACTACTGGCTTATGTTGGAAATGAGCCTGCTGGTATTGACCAGGCCTCACAATATTCCAAATCAGACCGATATTCCTCACACAGATTCCTCATTCTGCTTTTTCAAAAGAGATTTCAGATGAAAGCACTGTGGATGATTGTCAAAAGGCTCTTCCTATGGGCCTTGCAGATACAAGTCTTAGATAATAAAGGGGATTAAGAACACAAGAGTTACAATTGAGCCTGGCCCTGAGACAAAGGGCCTAATTTAGAGTTAAGGACAGATATGCACCCCCATCCAATTGTTTCGGCTTGGAGCACCGACTCCCAAGGCATCTTGTGATCAGTATTTGGAGTGACTTATTCTGTCCTTGAATATGCTGATTGCACCCTGTGAAGGAACCTATTGAGGAACTTCTTTTGTGATTATGGGAGCAAACATTGTGTTTCCTGAAAGACCTGTTTTTCTTAATAGTTCTCCTTAAACAAACAAGCTATTGACCCCTGCTCACAAAGAACTAACTTCACCCTTTTTATGCTAAAAAATTGTCTTGTATGCTAAAGATACCTTCCTTCCCCATAGGATAAGCATCTAAATCACCTACCTCAATCACTATTGATAAAGGCTATGCATGAATTCTGGGAAATTCTTACATATCAAAGAAGTTTGTCATCAGAAATCATTGTCTAAGGCAAATGTCACTTCTGTGCCATTCCCCAAACACTTAATTCTAAAATAAAGTTGAGCCCCAGTCAGAGCAGAGATGCCTGCCTGGTGTTCAGAGATTCTTGTGGCTCCCTCATCCCTCCTTCGCCGACACCATCCATCCTTCAGGGACCCCTGGACCTGCTGGAGCCGGCCTCCGGCATATATACACAAAAGATTTAGTGCCCATGTCAACCAAAAGATGGGTATAAGAGTGGTCATAGCAGCATATTCTAAAAAGCATCAAAATAGATATAACACAATGTCTATCAATAGTAAATCTAATAAATAATTGTGTTCTGCTAATACAAAGGAATATTAGGCAAAACTTACCTGTGCTGATAGAGATCAAAATGCTGGAGAGTGTTACTTGGGCCTCTTGGGGTACTGGAAGTGGTTTAGCATAGGGGTGTGTGTGTGTGTGTGTGCGCGCGTGCACACGCACACACACACTTAGTTTTTCTGAGCTGTACATGTATTTGTATGCTGTACTGTGTGCATTTTATAACATAGTAATAAAAATGTGAGAATAGATTTATGTATCTCTTTTATTTTGGAAACACAAACACAGGATGTATAGCTTAAAAACTTACGAAAATCTTACTTCTGAAGAAAGAACAAGGATGACCAGATAGGAGAGGAGATAAAACCCGTTAAGTATATCTTTTCATGTAGTTTTAACTTTTGAATCACATGAATGTTTTTATATTCAAAAAATTATATCAATCAGAGTAGAAACCTAACTTTTAAGGGCTAGCGGCAAAAACAGAGATGTTGTCAAGTAATCTCATCTTCTGTTTTACAATTTCCAGTCTCCCTGGGAGTTAGGTTGGGACCATATGAGTAGTACTGGCCAAAAAGCTTTAAGAAGAAACATTTGGGCTGAACCAGAATAGCTGATTTTATTTCTCCATGTGTTCTTTCACCTTTCGGCAGTTGTGGAGAGTACATCATGAGACGTTGGAGCCATTGGATGGAATTCTTCCTGGATCTCTAAATCACCACATGGAGCACAACTGCCCTGGAGAGTTGCTCAACTTCTGTTAAAGGCTTTGAGAGTGAGAAGTATTCCTTTTTTTTTTTTTTTAAGTTTTAATTTTAATTCCAGTCAGTTAACATACAGTGTTGTATTAGTTTCAGGTATATAGTGATTCAACAGTTCCCTACATCACCCTAAGTAAGAAGTAAGCCTCTTTAAAGTTATTTATTTATTGACAGAGTGCGAATAGTGGAGGGGCAGAGAGAGGAGAGAGAGTATCCCAAGCAGGCTCTGCACTGTCAGCAATAGAACCCCACGTGGGGCTTGAACTTATGAACTGCAAGATCATGACCTGAGCTGAAATCAAGAGTTGGATGCTTAACCGAGTGAGCCACCCAGGTGCCCTGAGAAGTAAATCTTTTTAATTTGGGAACTACTCTCTTAGCTCAATGTAGCCTAGAGTATTCTGATTGTAGAGAAGATGTAAAATTAAGGTGACTTGTTGAGAAGGAGGAGACATAGTGGCTATATGAAGGGAATTCAAGAGCGTGAAATAAAGGTTTTCTATTCTTTTCAGAAAATAAGAATAGAACCTTTATAGAATATTAGAGTTAGAAGAAAACTACAGACATTATTCTGTTCTTCTTATTTTGAAACAAAGAAACTAGAACCAGGGACTAATAATTGAGTCAAGATCACACAACAAGTTAGTGGTAAAGACAGGATTACAATCCTGGTTTTTAGGATCTTGAGAATAGTCTCAGGGTTAGGCTACAATTACTTTTGAGAGCAGCTGGACATTTGCTCAGGATCCTTTAGGTATATTGAACTTCCAATTTCTTGGTGAAGGTTTTAGATGGGAACAGCAGCCAATTGAGTCTACCAATGTTTTCCCCCAACTCCAAAGTCATAGCACAATCTCCTTTTCATTTCCATTTTATTGTCCTTCCACCTAGGCAGCCCACTGGAAATCATCAAGAAATATTTTTAAAATAAGAAATAGAACTTTCATCTTTTATCATTTGGGTCTTTTTTTAATGATTTGAATCACTCGTGTAAACAAAGTAGAAAAGAAGAAAATATCCTTGTTGAGAATTTTGATCTTCCATCTTTGATTTTTTGTGGGTGGACAGATTCTTTTTTTTCCTTGTATGTAAGAATAAGAAGTACCTGTGGTATTGTTTGCATAAATGTCTGGAAGACCCAGATCATTTTGTTACAAATTTCTTCTTTTGATTTATAAAATCTCTTTATGTTTCAGCACTGCTCAAAACAAGGTGACCAGCCATAATCCCCTTGCCCCAATCAAATCTCTATGATTTTGATAATTTCCCCCATGTGTCTTCCTCAGGTTGAACTGGTTATGTCTTATGTTTCTTCCCATCCCTCCATCTCTCCATTTCTGAGCTATGGCCATCACTAAGGCAGATACTTCCTGACCTCTTTTTTCCATCTCCACTTTGACCCAGAAGATTAAAGGAGGCCATTGTCACATCATCATTGGCCAGCCAATCAGGTGAGCACCTCCTATCAATGACTTCCTTGTTCCAGAGGAGTTCTCAGGCAGCTTCAATGGAAGGAGGGAGCCAAGAAAGAGGCCTGGCATAAATCCAAAAATGATAATTACAACATGGATTGTGTACATTCTTGCCCGGAAAGGTGCAAGGTTCCCCTTTCCACCAAAAATCAGTTCGGTAGGTGGAGCTGAAATTGTTTCTCTTCTATCTCTTCCCTTTTGAGCTCCCTACTGTCCTTCCAAAAAGATCTTATAATATATAACTTTGGGTAAGAATGGTGGAGGAGGTCTGGGTCTCTAGGTATTCTGAGGGCATTAACTTACCAATTTGTTGCAGGACATTGAAGTTGTAGAAAGTGAGGCTGTATCTGTAGTACAGCACTGGCTGAAAAAAGTGAGTAAGATTCCTCTACGACTCAAGGGACCCCAAATTCTAGAGAGCTGGCCTCAGCTGGTGCAGAATATGGACTTCTTTCCTCCTAAACCTGGGAAACTGAAATTCACTGCCAAACACCCTACCTAGAGCTGTGTCTGATTCACCAAATGTCCTAGAATATGCTGGGAGTTGTGTCCTCATCAGAGATGTGTTGGAATAATCACTATCCCCACCCTGCTTCTCAAGGATACTGGATGAGGGGTTTCAGATGTGTCACTTCCAGCTACAGGGCATCTCAGTAATATCTTGGGATAGGGCCAAGGACTTAATGAGTCCCCTGGAATTCTACAGGAAGGTAGAATAGACAAGCTTACTTACTACAGAACTGTGAGAAACAGTGTGTGTAGGAGAAGACATATAGTATGTGAGCTGTGACACAGGGGGAAAACAGAGAAAAGAAAGAAGAGACAGACTTGGGCTCAGATACAGAGCAACACTTTCAGGGGAAATTACTCACCTTTCAGACTGAAGAAGAGGCTTCCCAGGACATAAAGGAGAAGATGTCCACCAACTGCCCTCCCACACATGGCCAAGATGTACACGTGACCAGAGATGTGGTAATTGAGAGTTTGAGGCAATCATCCTAGGGGAGTGGGCAGATAGGTAGGGGGGCAGGCAATAAGCTCTGACTGAAAAGGGTCTTGGGCAAGTGGGTAGAGCTTGTCCAGGCCAGGCTGGACAGTAATTACATGCACCCCACCTGGGTTTCCTAGGTGAAGCACCATCTATCAAAATCTGATTTGTTGGCAAACCAGAGTCAAGAGGTCCTGGAGGAAAGAACAAGAATCCAGTTCATAAGATGGAGGTAAAGCATCTCATTTGCCCTAAGCCCCTTGTGGGGAGGGAGGCACATGCCCCCCACCTTCAGTATTCCTGGCCAACACAAACTCATAGCTATTCTTCTCCAGAGATGTTGACTTCTTTGGCTGAGAAATTTTTCAGTCTTACTTTGGGGTCTTAAGGGAATATTTTTTGCTATCTTGAAAGCCCAGCTCATTCCTGAGTTTTAACATGACTTGAGGGGTTGCAAAACTGGGCTTGCACACCATTTCTTAAATGCTTCTGAATAAATTTTAGACTTCTGTTACTTTTGCACTTGATTTGTTCAGAAGTGGCTGTACTTTAAAGAGCAAAAAGAAAATAAGCTCTTAAAATGCAAAAGCCTGAGCCCTCATCTGCAGCTGAGGTGAGAGGAGGTTTTTCAGTGCCTGAGGCTAGAATTCTGTGTTTCACATTATGGTTGCTTTGCCAGCCTCCTGCTGTGCCTGCTGGAGCACGGACCACCTGCATCCGCCTCTCCTGGCTCTGGAGGGCTGAGACCCAAGGTGGAGGGAGATGGGCCTGGAAGCCAGTTCATTCCCTCTGGCATGAGCTTCCTTATTTCCTTTTGAGGATTTGGGTTCACTCAGAGTCTTTTTTTCCCAGCCAAAGAAATGTGGGATTGAACTGGTCCTCCCTGAAACTGTGGAGGAGCCCCCCCCCTCATTTCTATACTCTTTTCTTCCTTCCCCTGCTTTCATCACCAGCTTTGTTCACTTCTACCATTTGAAGGACGTATTTCTCAAGAAATGTATTTCTGCTGAGGGATATCCAGTTTTTTCTGTTTACCCTTTACAGTGCTATCAACATTTTAAAACAGGATGCAAATGCCCAGTAATTATTTAATAGAAAAGGGTAATAAATAGAGGAATTTGAGACCTCCTTGGGAAATGCTTTTTGGATTGGAAACGTATTCTAAAGTCATAAATGTTGGGGACAGTACATAACCACTGCTGTACATGTGGGAGATAGTCCCTGCCTGACATAGCTGCACTGTATGGAATTGTAAATGTTGCAGTTCCTTGGTCTGGATAATATGAACATCATCTTCAGATATTTTTTTTAAACCTTAGCTGTATGGCATAACTAGGTTAAAGCTTTGGAGACAAGCTACAGGAATCACAGTCAATTATCCATGTATAATTTTTCCACTCTGGACTTTCTGTGGATTTTTTAAATCCATAAACTGTGACTAGTTTCCCTACAAGCCTCTAGTCTTGGTATTATTTTATTAGGTTCAGTAAATATGTAGTCAAGGAATACATATCCCTTCATTAAGCATCAGTGGATACTCATTTATTTGGTAGATGAGTACCGACCACCAGATGTTTGCTAGGACCTCTAAAGAGAGTGAAAATAAGATGGAGTTCCCAGTTTCAAAGGGATAAAAGTGAACAAGGTAGATAAGATGTTAGAGAAAATGTCAGAGAAGCCATGAAGAGGATTTACAAGAGCATAGCATGGGACATCCAGCTTTCACAAATTCTAGACATTGCTGCCTGGGGTAGCCAGAAGAGGTTTCTAGCAGGACATTTGCTTGGACTGACCCATGAGCAGGAGCAGGGAGGAGGGAATCTTCAATAGATCATGAAAGCCTTGCAACTTGGCCAATTCCATCTGGCCTCAAGTGCCCAGTGCTGTGACCCCTTCTCTGAGGTCTCCTTCTTTGTGCCTTGGGCTGAGAGTAATCTCTTCCTTCTCTGGAATCCCTTTATCCTCTCTTGCCTCTCTCTTTGGGCACTGACCCAGCTCTACCTTGTGTGAGTGATAAATGAGCACATTTATCTCTCCCAGACTTCAAGTCTTCACGTTGAAAGCCCCAGAGCACCTAGAACAAGGCAGTTTCAATAGATGCAAAAATGGAGGATACAGTGGACACACTGGTTTTGCTGGAGTGGAGGGTTTGTGGGGGGAGGATGGAGTTGAGGAGAACATGAACTGCAGCACAGAGAAGAAGGCAAGTCAGAATGGTGAAATAAAACAACAGCAGCAATGAAGGGCCAGCAGCTTCTTTGTGACAGAACTTTCCAGAATTATCTCTAAACCATAGTGAATATGGCACAATGTAGGCCATAAAGATCTGATAAAGAAGTTGGAGAGGAATTCAGAAGGAGTGAATTCCATGTCTTACAAGACTACTCACCTGCTGTGCAACTCTAGTAATGGCACTTAAACTTTCTGTTTCTTTGACTCTCCTTAGGACCATTTGCTACCTGCCCAGGATTATTGGGTGGCTCAGGGGTACTTGATAGTAAAACAAAACAAAACAAAACAAAACAAAACAAAACAAAACAACACAACCCTTGTGTGCCTCATGCAAGAAGAGTGAAGGACAAGATCAGTATTTCATGGCAGCCGAGTATCATTCATATGATTCTAACCCATTCACTATTCTTAGTGAAAAAGAAACAGGAATTCCAAATGTTTGAATGGTGTCTTGCAGCCATACCCGTATCTTCCAAGTGCCAAGTGAGGTGAGGGAGGATGTTATGCAAGAACGAATAGAGCAGGTGAGACGAAGGTAAGCCATTTGGGACAAGTTGATTTGTACTCCTAACTGGGGGCAGATGGTGATGGGGGTGGCCGCTGGCCTCTCCTCTGTGGGTTTCCCTGGTTCAAGACCACACCTAGGCTCCCTGGCCATGCCTGGAGCCCTTCCTTCCAGAGTGCCTCTTTGTGGGACTTTGCTCCAGGACCCAAATGGGGCAATGACTCAGGCATGGGCTGTGTGGCCATCCCAGCTCCATTCCATGGTCTAGGTGTGAGCTCTGGGCAGGCTTTGCCATCTGGCAGCCTTTCCTCTGCCTTGTTCCTCTTCTGCAGCCTATACAACCTTACGGATGAATCATCTCAGGAGATTCACAACAGAACTTCCTATGCAGACTGCTGAGAGCTACAGGTGAGAGGGTGAGGAACTGTGCAGAGAAGGTGGCTGTCCTGGGTGTGAGACAGTGTGCTGGGATGGGAGCTTGATTAAAAGGTTTAACCTTTCCTTTTCATAAGGGGGCTTGCACTTGGGGCCAATGGGAATGAGGGGGCTACCTTAGGCATCTGCCATGCCTCTCAAATTTCTGGAAGGGCTTGAAGTCAAGTTCAGATTTGGCCTGACACTTTTAGCTGTGGTGTCACAGTGAGTGCTTCTCAGTCAGGCACAGAGGAGGGACCACCTGGGGATCTTGTGTTAGTAGGTTGTTGGGGGACCTGCTGCTCTGCATTTCTAACACCCCCAGGCATTGCTGACACATTGAACCACAAGGTCACAGAGCACTGGGGTCCAGGAGTAAGAACGTATAGGTTTTGGCACAGCCACCAATTGGGACTTGACTTTGGGTCCCATGGCTTCTTGGCCTGCATTTGGAACCTGTGGTCATAAGAGTGGCCGTTTACATAGCTTTGGTAGGTGGAAGGCCAATGACAGTCAATGCATTACAGAGCCCATCCATACAGGAAACGGTTACTGTAACTCGTGCCACGTGTGGAGACTGAACTGGCCATTATAGAGGGCTGAAGGAGTGATTTAAACACAGTTGAACCCAACATACTTTCGAGGAAGGCTATGGAGGTATATCACTGGCATTTATGGAACACTTATTGTCTACCAGAGCCGGCACAAGGCATTGTCAATATTTCTCATCTGATCCAAAAGAACGTTAAGAGGAGGGCATTATTCAGGCCCATTATACAGATGACAGAGGATAAACCAAGCCTCAGGAGTGGATACTTGCTTTTAGTTCAGCTCCATGTGCCTCAGTTTCCTCAGACTTTAGAACACTGTGTTGAGGACAATGGCTTTCAGCACTTAGTAAATGGCATGATGTGCCATGTCAGTTGTTTATTCATATTAAAGGGATAAGGAATCTGGGGTGCTTGCAGGGCCTTCTGAAGTTTGAAGAAGCAGATTTCAATTTGAATTTTCACTTTAGGTCAATTCAAATGGAAAATTTCAAGTTCGAAGAAAGCCAAGTTTCAATTCCATCTTTGATACACCATCGTCCTTTTCCCTTCATGGGTTTTTCTGCTCTATGTGCATGAATGTCAGGGTGGTGGGCTTTGAGGCATGATCATCAAGACTTGTAGCCATCCTGCATTTCTGTGATGCATTCCTCTGCTTCCCAGGTTCATATCCTTTAGCGTCAAGGAATAGCCTATGTCAGAAGAACGTTTATCACCCCTTGACCTGAGGAGCGACCACACCCTGAACAGATAGAATCTGGCGGGTGAGCTTTTCTTTGTGACAATTGCAGCACTGGAATCTTCCTGCTGAACTGCTAATAAAGAGACATGGTATTTAATCACTGTCCTGGCCTCTGGTGTGAGCGCTTTGTCATCCATTCATTCATCAGCCTCTGAACACCTCATGGGCTTGGCTCTGCAGACACACAGCTTGCAGCATTTTGAGGAGGCAGACAACAGGCCTGCACAGAGCTGTATCAGCAGGCCTTGCAGGGTGCTCCTGGAACACTAGAAGGGGTGCTGGGCTGGGCCAGGAAAGGAGGGCTTCTAGGGGAAGTGTGTCTTGTTTGTTTCACTCAAGTATTTATTTTTATTTACTTCTTCTCTAGCTCTCTTCCTGTCTTTATGTAGATCCAAGTTTCTGACTTATATTCCTTTCCCTTTCTGAACAACTTTTAACATTTCTTGTAAGGCAGGTCTACTGGAGACAATTTGCTTTGATTTTTGTTTGAGAAACTATTTCTTTTTTTTCCAGTTTTTAAATATACCTTTTTTTAATAGTTTATTTTCAAGTTGGTTTCCATATTACACCTAGTGCTCCCCTCCCACACTGTTGGTGGGAATATAAACTGGCGAAGCCCCCCTGGAAAACAGTGTGGAGGCTCCTCAAAAAACTAACAATAGAACTCCCCTAGGACCCAGCAATAGCACTGCTAGGAATTCACCCAAGGGATACAGGAGTGCTGGTGCATATGGGCACATGGACCCCAATGTTCACAGCAGCACTCTCAACAATAGCCAAATCATGGAAACAGCCTAAATGTCCATTAACTGATGATTGGATCAAGAAGATGTGGTCTATATATAAAATGGAGTACTACATGGCGATGAGAAAGAATGAAATCTGGTCATTTGTAGCAATGTGGATGGTACTCGAGGGTGTTATGCTAAGTGAAGTGAAGTAAGTCAGGCAGAGAAGGACATATCGTATGTTTTCACTTACTTGTGGAACAGGAGAAACTTAACAGAGGACCATAGGGGAGAAGAAGAGGAAAAATAGTTGGGGAGAGGGAGAGAGGCAAACCATGAGAGACTCTTGAATGCTGAGAACAAACTGAGGGCTGATGGGGGTGGGGGAGGGGAAGGGGGTGATGGGCATGGAGGAGGGCACTCGTTGGGATGAGCACTGGGTGTTATATGGAAACCAACTTGACAATAAACTATGAAAGATAAAAAACCCCACCCAGTGCTCATCCCAACAAGTGGCCTCCTCCATGCCCATCACTCCATTCCCCTCCCCCCCCCATCAGCCTTCAGTTTATTCTCAGTAGTCAAGAGTCTCTCATGGTTTGCCACCCTCCCTCTCTTTAAGTATTTCCCCCCCTCCCCTCTCCCATGGTCCTCTGTTAAGTTCCTCCGGTTCCACAAGTGAGTGAAAATATATGATATGTCCTTCTCTGCCTGACTTATTTCACTTCACTTAAAATAACACCCTCGAGTTCTATCCACATTGCTACAAATGGCCAGATTTCATTCTTTCTCATTGCCATGTAGTACTCCATTGTATATATAGACCACATCTTCTTGATCCAGTCATCAGTTGATGGACATTTAGGCTGTTTCCATGATTTGGCTATTGTTGAAAGTGCTGCTATGAACAATGGGGTACATGTACCCCTATGCACCAGCACTCCTGTATCCCTTGGGTGAATTCCTAGCAGTGCTATTGCTGGGTCATAGGGGAGTTCTATTGTTGACTTTTTGAGGAACCTCCACACTATTTTCCAGAGGGGCTGCACTAGTTTACATTCCCACCAACAATGTAGGAGAGTGATTGTTTCTCCACATCCTCGCCAGCATCTATAGTCTCCTGATTCGTTCATTTTAGCCACTCTGACTGGCATGAGGTGATATTTCAGTGTGGCTTTGATTTGTAGTTCCCTGATGATGAGGGACACTGAGCATCATTTCATGAGTCTGTTGGCCATCTGGATGTCCTCTTTGGAGAAGTGTCTGTTCATGTCTTGAGAAGGTATTTCTACCTCACTCTTGAAGGATAATTTTGAAGGATATAAAATTCTAGCATTTTTTTCTTTAAAACTTTAAATATGTGTCCCACTTTCTTCTTGCTTGTTTGGTTTAAGAAGGGATGTTACATATAATTTTTATCCTTGCTCCTCTTGAGGTAAGGATTTTTTCCTTCCCTGGCTTTGAGAATTTCCCCCCCCCATATCTTTGATTTTATGCACTCTGAATATGCTATGCCTAGGTGTAGAGTCTTGGGTGTTTACCCTGCTTGGTTTTCTGAATTTCCTGGATCTATTGTATGGAGTCTACCATTGCAAAATTTTCAACTACTATTACTTTGAGATTTTTTTTCTGTTCCCTTCAGTTTTCTCCTTCTGGTATTATTGTTATGCATACGTTGTACCTTCTGTAATTGCCCCATAGTTTTTTTTTTTCCATTTAGTTTTTTTTTTCCATTTTGTTCCCCATTTTTTCCCATTCATTTTATTATCTTTCCTTTTCAGTCACAGAACTTTTGTTGACATTTCTTTGAACTCAATGATTCTTTACTTGGTTTTGTCTAGTCTACAGATAAATCCATCAAAAGCATTCTTCATTTCTATAACAGGGTTTATTCCTGGCATCTCCTTATGATTTTTTTCTTAGGGGTTCTTTTCTCTCTGCCTATATTGTCCATTTATTTTGTGTATTGTCCACTTTTTCTACCAGATTCTTTAGCACATTTATCATAGTTTTAAATTCCCAGTATGACAATTCCAACATCTCTGCCTTATTTGAGTCTGGTTCTGATGCTTGCTGTGTCTCTTCAGAGTGTATTTTTTAACCTATTATCATATAGCATAATTTTCTGTTGTTGTTGAAAGCCAGATATGCTGCATGAGATAAAGGAGTTGAGGGGGATAGTGCAAAGTTTTAGATTTATCTGGTTAGGAGCTAGACTGTGTTTACTCTCTCCAGCAGATGTATTTTCAGAGACTAGCAGTTTTTGGTGTGCCCTTGTTTTTGCCTCCCTTGCTGCTGTTAGGTTTCCCTAGAGGTTCCTTCTTAAATAGAGTCTGAAGCTTATAATTCTTTCAGCTGACTCCCCCCCCCCCCCATTGTTCTACAGGGGCTTGTTGATGTGGTGGTGAGGTTTGAGAGGAGAGAGAGAGGGTCCTAGGGTCCTCTGATCAGGCCTCAGTCTCTTAGGGAGCCTGTGCCCCTGGCCTGTGTCCTCACCTTTCCCCTTCCCCTACTCCCACCTCAGGAGAGGCAGGGAGGCCAGAGGGGGCCACAGTTGGATGTTTCCTTCTCTCAGTTTAGGTAGGCTCTGGAAAAAACAGTCTGCCTTGAGGGAAGGCCTTTGTTAAGGAGAACAGAATGCTCTGGACATGTTTCAAAATGGCTATTTTCCTCTCCCTTTGCTGAGATGGGCAGGAATGAGGGGTTCTCTCATCTTTACTGTGAGAACCTGGTTGGGCTCCTGAAGGCAAAACTCAGAAAGTGGCAGGTCTTCTAAGATTGGGCCCCCTGGACCCATTAAATCTCAAGTTTGTCCACATTGAGCCACCAGCAATTCATCAATTACGTTTAAGCTTCTCTACTCAGTGCTGTTTCCCAGAGGTTTCTGTGTCTGCTAAGATGTCATTCTCTCTAATAACCTGTCTGTCTCTCCAGTTCTCAGGTCAGCATTTTGCCCTTTGACCTAAATTCTCTGATGGATCTAGGAAGTGTTGTTGGTTTTGGTTTGTTCAGCTTTTTTTCCCCCCAGTTGTAAGATTGGGAGTGACAATTGCAAGCTCTTCACATATTAGACTGCAAATTGCAAGTTTTATTCTGGTCTGTATTGAGTGTCTGCTAATGTGGACTGAGCACCTACTGTGTGCCAGGTACTACCCAAGCAGCCCTCTGATGTACATGCTATTACTACATGAGAGGAGACAACACAAGACTGAGTATTTTGAGTTATTTTGGTGATAGCAGAATGTGAGAACACAGCCTGGCATCTGGATCCCAAACCTTTTCTCTCAACTATACTGTTGCACTATGTGCAACTGGGCTAGGCCTGGAGAATGCAGAAATAAGTAGGACCCACCCTCTCCCTGCTCTCTTGGACTTTCATTTTGACAGGGTAGACATGTTTTAAACAGTCACAATTTTCACAGTTACTATAAAGGAGAAGTACTATATATAGTGGGAACTTGCCCTAATCAGAGAAGAAAAAAGATTATTTTTGATTATTTAGAAATCATCATCCCCATTGTATAGAGAAAGAACTGGAAGCTCAGCAAGATTAAGCAGCTCTCTTGATGTCACGGACCCATCCAGTGCCCTTAACCACACCATTGTGGGGCTAAGTTGACCCCTGAGGGGGGGGTCATTTTGGTTGATGGTGGTGGTGAGCCTTGGCCTGTCAGACACTGTAGAAGGGAGAGAGGGAGGGGTAGGACATGTCCTTATCGACCAAGCCCCACTACTCCCAGGGGTCAGGAATGCCTGCATTTTCCCTCTCCATCACCTTTCCCTTCCAGCCTGGTGGCCTGCTTGCTCCAGTGAGGGAGGCAGAAGATGAAGGAGAGAGCAGGAGTTAACGAGCCAGGGGAAAGGGGAGCAGACGTGGGCAGTGGTAGGTGAGAGGGCTCTGAGATGAGGAGAGGAACATGATGTGACAGAGAAAATGCCAAAGGCCAATGTGGTTGGATGGGAGCAGAATGAAGAAAGGCCACAGAGGAAGCTGTTGAGAGGGGGTCAGGGCCAGGCCATGTGGGCTGGGGGCCTTGTCTTAGCAAAGATGAAAAGTGCAGGAATGTTGGGGGAAGAAGGGGATCACACATGTGGAGGTGGGCTGTGCTACAGGGTAGAAGCAGGGACTTCAGGAGAGGTTTCTTGGGGGAGGTGAGGGGGATGCAGAGGAATGGAAGGGTTTGAACGGGACAGACATGACTTGGCAATGTGTGGCACCAGAAGAATTTGGGAGAAGGAAGTTCCTGGGGGTGCAGCTGGCTATGGAACTACCATTTATTCAGGGGAGTCTCGGTTGGGGGAGATAAGTTCAGTTGGGGTAATGACTTAGGCCTGCGTAGGACACCACTGTGGTGACGTCAAGCAGGCGGATGGA